TCAGGGCAGACCGAGCTGATTAGCATTCTGCCTGGATCAGCTAGTTAGCATGCACTAACAGCCTTTGGCTAATGTCCACCGATCTCATTATTATCAGTTTGAAATAAGGCATCAACGCCCCCCCCCATCCTCATCCCTGCCCCCCACCCGGCTGACGATGCAAAGTGACGGAAGCAAGGCCAGGGAACATTCTCTGAAGACGGTTTGGAAAACAAACCCAAAACCTTTGCCGTTGGCTTGCCGTGAATACGTCTGCCCCACCCACCTCCCTCGTCCGTTATAAATAAATCACCGGCCTTTTCCGGGAGTGGCCTGTATTAATAAAACATTTCATCAGCGGAGCAGGGCGTGAATCCGATTGGCCGCAGGACTCCCTGGGAACACGCTGGCTTTGTTAGTGTCCTTAAAATATGCTGGAAGGCGTCTGCTGTATCTTCTCAGGGCCAGCGGAAATCAGGAAGGACAGCCACAGCGTGCCGGCACCCTCAGGGCATGAGGTGTAATGGGGGCGGGGGCTTCATGTTGGGGGCCACTTTTACCTTCCTGACCGCCTGTTTCTGCATCACTGTGTTAAATAGTTATAGGATCCAGGTCATCCTTCTGACACGGCCCTTTGGGGGGGGGGGTGCCCCTCACCGCCAGTGTGCAGCAGTCACGGTTAATTACCCCAGGCGAGCGAGAATAACCTGTTAATTAAATGCCAAGAGGCACGGCCTGCACTCACGGCATGCTCTTCGCACGATTACGCGTGCCTGCGAGGTCATCACAGAGTGCCTCGATCGGGGGGGGGGGCTAAAGCATTACCCTCAGCTGGCATTGTACAGCATGGGGCTCTGCCCCGCAGCCCTGAGGAAACCCCTCACCCGCTTCACCCCCGCGGCCCCGAGGAGACCCCTCACCCGCTTCGTCGTAGGAGGCCGAGAGCTTCTCCAGCATCTCCTTGTCGATGGCCAGGATGTGCTGCTCCAGGATGCTGGGGTAGGACAGCACACTGTTCTCCTTCTCCTTCTCGTAGGCCTGCAGGTGCTGCTTCAGGAGCTCCGGCAGGTGGGTCTTCACGTACTCTGCGGCGGCCTGGGGAGACAAGGGGCGGGGTCAGTGAGGGCGGGGCCGCAGGAACCCCACCCATGCGGAGAAGATACGGTTCAGCACCCGACACTTTGTTACGCGTCTGTCTGCCCATGAAGCCTGACTGTCAGTGCTTCGTTAAGGACATAAGCCGTCATCTTATGTCCGGGAACGTTCTGGCAGTTCTCTGTTCAAGGGTGGCTCTTACTATCCCAGTGAGGCGAGAAAGAGAGAGAGAGAGAGAGAGAGACAGACAGATAGACAGACAGAAAAATGGTCAAAATAACAGGTTTTTATCACATTGTGGGGAGATTTGGTCCCCACAATGTAATGTATATCTGACCCACAGGCACGCACACACACACACACAGACACACACAGACACACACGCACGCACGCACACACACACCATGCTAAAAGCAAAATAAGGGTACAGAGAGCGGGAAATGAAAAGTTACACCGTAAGCGAAACATTTCACCTGCCGTCTCAGGTACAAGCTGACCTGGAGAAATCCAAGCCCAGGGTAACCGCAGTAACTGCACTCGCCCTTTAAAGGGAACAATGCAGGCCGTTTCTAAACACGCAGCACTTCTTAGAACCGGTTGGAAGATGAAGCCACAGGACACCGCCCTTTTTGTACAAAAACACCCAAACGTGGCAAAAAAACACAGAAAGGTGGGAATTCAGCAAATCACAGAAGGTGCGTGAGGGAAAAGAGATTGTAAAACACGGAAGGTGCCCTTAGGAGAGCAGATACCGTCAGGTGCAACCAGCAGGACCAACACGGTTCTAGGTCTAATGGGACTAGACTTGGCCACCTGCCCCTCCGTTAAAGTGACTGCAGCAGACTGTACGTGGACCGACGCTCTTGTGCAGTAAACACGGCCGCTTTAACAGGGAGAACCGCAGGCTGTGCTCTCACTGGACTGAGGACATTTTGGACTTTGTTGGGTTGCCACGGTGACGGTGGTTTCTGAGCAACCACTCACTGTGTGTGTGTGCATGCGCATGCGTGTGTGTATGCGCATGCGTGTGCGTGTGTGTGTGTGTGTGCGCGCATGCACATTATTATCTTTAGTATGTTTGCTGTTTGATCTGCACATCAAACGTCTCCAGACCTGGATCTCCGTTTTCAGACGTGCCAAAGGGGCCTCTAGGGGCAGAAAAAAACACACCTTTCATGCAAGGATCAGACACTTGTTACGGCTGTTTCTCTAACCATGCCAGTCAGGCCCCTGCTCTACCCATAATGCACTGCTCAGCAGTGAACAGCCTCTGGCTCCGGGTCTGAAACGACCCCTTAGGTGCCGAGGATGGGAAGGTGGGTGTGGAGGGGCACCGGGGTCAGCGGGTGGCGCACGGGGGCTGTGGGGACGAGGTGGAGCCATACGACCCTGTTAGCAGGAACTGAGATTTATCTCCTGCTGTCTATCTGCAGGGAGGGAGACGCTCACGCGCTTATCTCCATGATCGCCACAGCAACCCTGAAGCGCATTCGTCAGCCGCTAAAAAAACACCTCGCTGGCCCGAAATCTTCAGGAAAGAGACGGCAGACACCAGAAGGAGCCGCCATCAGAGTGTCCCAAGCGGGCCTGAGCGGAGAGGTCAGTAACCAGCGTCGCTTCATGTCTGACACGGCGGGGGCCCTGTGGCTCCTTCCTCACACCCGGCTGTCATCAGGGACGTGTGCAGGCAGATGTCAGCTCTGGAAGGCGGTGGGGCAGAGCAAAGCTGATAGCGGACACACAAAAACAGTCAATGCGGAGTTGGGGGGGGTGATCCTGCAGGGACCGGGCCCCACATTATTACCACAGACAGGACTAGCAATAAAGGCCACTCCCGCTTCCAGGAGCCCCCAGTCCCCTCGTCCCTCACCTGTCCAACACCAGTAGGGTCAAATCCCCCACCCAGGGAAACCTGCCTAAGGTACCAGGGCACTCAGCAAGCCGTCGAATTGGCCGCCAAATTATCCGAGGACAGAGAAGATCAGACAGTGTGCATTGCCAGGGGGATGAGGCGCACTTTCTGGGCCCTCTGGACGCCCCCAATGGCTTTAGCTACACGGCTGAGGCGGCAGGGAGGGAGCGGGTGCCCACGGCTGTTCGGGGG